TAATATCGATAACTTCGAGTTATTTCGCAATAGCAACCTAACCTATATTACGTGGATGTGTTGTTTCAACTTACTCGAATTCAGGCAGCTCAGTATTGACTAAAGAAATAGTGCATAAACAGCAACGAAATGTCCGGGTATACCAGCCAGGATAACAATTACTGGTCCCAGCCACCGCCACCACCACCGCAGGGACAATTCAACTTCGATGCGGCTGGTTTTGGCCAACCTAACCAACAATTTGAATTCCAATCGTACGAACAGATGCCCGGTGATTATTCATATGGGCAGAAGAGCTTTCTGGATCCCACACAGAGTCCCTACAGCGGTGACTTGTTCACACAAGACGATTATGCAAAAGGTATAAAAAAAAAAAAAAAACAATAGCATTTGTACTTACTTAGCTCTGGATTGACAGATGACATCACAGATGTATAGCTCATCTATATGTACGGCTTTTTCAGGCACCACCGGCTTCGGCGACGAAGAAGATGAACCGCCTTTGCTAGAAGAGCTCGGCATCGATCCTGACCGAATAATGCAAAAGACTCTGGCCGTATTGAATCCATTTCATAGGAAAGGACAGATTGATGACGCGAATTATCTGCTGCAAGATTCAGATTTGGCGGGGCCCGTGGCATTCTGCTTAGTTCTCGCGGCGTTTCTCCTACTAGCTGGTTCTAAGGCACACTTTGGATATGTATATGGATTAGCTGTGACTTCTTGTATACTTATGTATATTCTGCAATCCCTGATGAGCAGCAGCAGTAACATCACGTTATCATCTGTTGCGTCTGTATTGGGTTATTGCCTGTTGCCGGTAGTTGTTCTAGCGGGTCTGGGTGTCTTCACTACATTACGAGGTCCAATAGGTTTGATTCTCGCAATCTTGGCTGTTGCTTGGGCATCCCTGTCTGCTTCTAGGCTTTTTTCGACCATGTCAGGAGAGGAAGATCAAAAGCTTCTTATAGCGTACCCATGTCTGCTTCTCTATGGAGTATTTACATTAATAATAATATTTTAAATAAAGAAATAATTGTATGTATATTTATGAACTTTTCAAATAAACTTTTGGATTTAAGCAGAAACGTTTTTGTTTACACTCAAATTGGTGCTAACAATTAAATGGATAAAAAAAAGTATTTACATACATTGGTATACATTTTCTGTTGTGCTATTAGTTGTGCTATTAATTGTGCTATTAGTAACAGTGAACCATTGGTAACATAATAATTATATTATTCTATTTTATGGCATATCTTAAAAAACTTTCCGAAATATTTTACTAAACATATTTTGGAAGATATGTTTATTTTAGATATATGAGAATATGTATGAGAATATGTAGTATGTATTATATTGGATGCAAATATTAGATCAAGTTATTTGTTATACAATTTCTAAATAAAATTTATGGTATTAATTCATTATTTTTGTATTTTTCATATCTATAAGTCATCATAGTAAGTATCATCTATAAGTCATCATAGGGTTTATATAATCGTGATTATTAAACAATGAATAAAATAGAACAAGTTTTATTAGTAAGTTAGAACAAGGAATAAAATATTTTTATGTTTGTAAGAATTTGTAAGAATAATTTAATATATATATTCATCATAATAATATTGATTTTTTTTATGTCCAAAATTTATTTTTAGCTGCTCTTATAATTAAAAATGCTTTTTTACTAACATGCGACATGAAAAAACTTGTAATAATAGATAATCTTATTATGTAAAATATTTGAGAAATTTTAACAAAATGGTTTAACTTCTATTTGTGTGTTAATTTAAGCATATAGATTATGAGAAAATTGTAATAATGATCAAACTACAGCGTAATATTAAATATAATGACTCCTTATATACCTAGATATTATAATAAATTTAATTTAATTTAATAATAAGTTGGTAACACAAAATGTTATATATATTTTTATAATGTTATTAATATTATCGCAATATATTTAAATAAAGTATCCAAATATGAAATTAAATGAATTGTTCTTTTACTTTCCTGTCAATCTTTTTTCCTACGAAATTTCTACTTGACAGAGCTTGTCTGATATATCTATATAAATGTCTGTAACTGAATACAGCACCTATTATTTTCTTTTTTCAGGTGTCCCATCCGATCCGGCACAAGTGCAACAACCAATTTTAGTTTGTACGGCACACATCCATTGGGATCCCGAATTCTGCGACGTGAAATTAATACAAACAATGATGCTGAGCAATGAACTACGTTCCATTTTGGACCAAGCTGGCCAGTCGTTCCGACCCGGCCACAAGCCTGATTCTTCCAACGTTCAATTGCTGCTTTGTGGCGATTTCAATTCTTTACCTGATTCTGGTAATGCATTTATTTATTGATTTTTTTCTTGAATGTTTTCTTAAAATAAATCTATTGCGTTATTTATACTATACTAATAATTAATAATAAATATAATTGGTAACAAATTAATAATTACAGTAATTAAAGTAATTTAATTACAATAATTAAAATAATCTATTATTGTGTGTAGGGGTGATTGAGTTTCTTACATCCGGACGTGTAGCGGCCGATCATCGTGATTTTAAGGATTTAGCATATAAATCGTGTTTACAAAAGATCTCTGGCTGCGATAAACCCAACGAATTTACCCATTCTTTCAAACTTGCATCTGCCTATAGCGAGGACATTATGCCCTACACCAACTACACGTAAATACAATCCATTTGTTATTTCTTTATTTTATATGTTTATGATATATGTGTATATACAAATGTATAAAATGTTTTTTTTCTGTTTGTTTTTTTAGATTCGAATTTAAAGGCATAATAGATTACATTTTCTATTCGAAACAAAGTATGGTACCGCTAGGCCTTCTTGGTCCATTGAGTCCAGAATGGTTTAAAGAACATAAGGTAGTAGGATGTCCTCATCCTCATGTCCCATCGGGTAAGTTTATTTATCTTGTTTATTTATCTATGTTTCAAAATGTTTTCGGCTTCGTCGAAATAAAATTCAGGATGACATCAATGTTTTATCTTTCGTTTCAGATCACTTTCCTCTGTTAGTGGAATTAGAAATGACACCGACAGTAGGAACAAGCAATGGTTTGATCTCACGCAGGTAGCAGCCGCTGCGATCTAGGCCCAAGTAACCGTAAGAAGAGGAATCAATAACGAAGATAAAAGGAATCAATAACGAAGATAAAAGGAAAAAAAAAAGAATTTGCATCATTTCTTCTCTACTTCTGGCTCTAGCAATATCACTCACATTATTCTTACTACAATAGCGAATGTTACACACACAAATACTCCATACATTGCCGCACATTCAACCAACAGCGATTGCTGTCGACGGGATACCGACGAATACACAATTCTAACGACCAGGTGAAGGGAGCCGTGTTGTAATGCGTTTAGCTAGCCCATGTATAGTGTATTGCATTTTTAAGAGCTATCTTACTCCCACGCCTAAAGATTATTGTAACCTCTCTATTTACCATCGTAATATGTGTAGATACCTATTTTCCTACAAAAAGTAAAATGAAAACGACGATATTCCGATCAAGAAGCCTCTGTGATATCGACATTTAACACAATTGGAACAAAATCACACATTTATTAGTAAATGAAACTAGTAGTGTTGTATTAGAGAGAGAAAGAGAGAGAGAAAGAGAGAGACATATACCTTAAAGAAACCTCCCTTTCCCCCTTCCTAAATGTCATTACAACATTCTCCAAGCCAACCTTTTGATAAGAATGCTGCCATCCAATGAAGAAAAAAAAAAGAAAAAATTGTATTTTTAAACAAAACGAAAACAAAAAAGATATGAAAACATACATACTATACTGGGCTGTGCGAAGTGATTGGAGTGATCGACTTAAAACAATTTCAATGCAAGTACAAATCTGTTCTTATTGGCCACGTATATATTGATATAATATGGTAATGTTATATAAGGAGAACAAGAAAACATATATAGATGATATTGTAGCGGGTGTATTTGTAAGTATGATATAATGTATGATGTTCATTCACACGTCTGTCATAATGTCAAGTGAGATCAGTTCAGCATTCACCCCACAATTTAGATATCCGTTTGGATCCGATTATTAATGTATATGTGCTCTGTATCACAATCTATTACTTGTTAATTCAGTTGTTGACATCGAAGTACACGGGGAAACTTTTTTTTACAAACATGTGCGAATGTTTTCGCATTCTTTCCGACACTGCATTTCTATCCGCGTGATATCTTGCTTATTTTTTTCTGCTGTTTTACAATGTGTAGTTACAGTCGTAACTATAAAAAAAATGTATAGACCCTAACTATTTTATGTAGAAAATCTATTAGATAATATTATATTGTTAATATTATAAAATAAAATATATATTGAACAGAATTTCAGTGCAAATACATTTGCACGTTAAATATTCTTCTCGAACTTATCGAAATTTTACTTGCAATTTTTATTTTTCATCGATTTATTTAATACCCCTTAAAATGAAAATGATGATAATTAAAATGTGCAATCTGTATTTACAAAACTTTATACAGATTTACACTGATTCGCTACAAGTTTTATTGTAATGGGGTATTGGTATATTTTTTTATTGCTGTACATATATAATTTATTCTCTTTAATTTTATCTCTTGCAGCAATACTCAATGTTTAAATATTGAGAATGTAGATAATTTTCTTTATAAGTGTATTGTAAATATGATAATGGGATTTTGCAATTTATTCTTTGCTTTAAAGAATTCATATTAAAGTTTATTTTAGATAACTTGATAAGCTATGCAAATGTATATTTTGTAGTACTGGCGTTATAAAATTTTAGATATCATATATATGTCATTTCATAATTATTCACATTTTTCCCAGATTTGTTCATCAAAATGTAAACAATACTTAAATTTTTCGTGCGTCAATTGTATATGTGCAGATCTCATGAAAATATTTTTTAAGTTTCTATAATGCGATAAACAGTGTAATTATAGTCGCAATAATTCACATACATACACACAAGGCAGAGTACATCTACGTGAACGGCATCGTACATGATCGGAAAGATACGTAAATTTATGCATAGATTATAATTTATAAACTTAAGAATATTATAATCATGTAATAATTGATCTCGTTGTACGACACAATCAATGACTAACAAATTTTTCATTTGAAAAAATGAAAAGTTTTATGTTGTACGTTAATTTGAAACTTCAACTGAATTATACAAGTAAAAGATTAGTTTATCAAAGACATATGTGTAGTAAATGTTGTATAAAGTAGGTAATTACATTATAGTTTTAATTATCTCGATGAGAGGCGGCATCTCTTTGGTATTTGTATATTTCTTCATATTGAGCATGTTTTCACATGGCAAGCGAATGACGTGATATATTAAAATCAATTGCCGGCTGCTTTGGGCCTAATTTAAAACCGTCGGAACAAAGATAAATGACGAGGTGGCGAGATGGCGGACTTTTCTTCGATAATAATGTTAAAAATCTTGAAATCTTATGATTTATGCTATATCAAAAGGAAAAGAACAAATATGATAATAATTTTTAACTTACTCCTCTTTTAATATTACGATATATCACGTAGCAAAAGAAAATTAGTACAATTCGTCATGTCTCTTAACTAGTATATCAAGTGTAAAAATGTATTTTGCAGCATGAAAGTACCTATGTTTCTTTTGCGGTAAAAAATCTTTTAAACGGATTTGGTGATCATATATGTAAAAATCCTTCTTCAGGACAGAAATGAGTAACGATTTTTTTGCAAAAAATTGGTTTCCCCAACAATTACAGGACATGACGCAAGAAGCGACGCGGTAATCACAATTTTACCAGCAGTATTTGAGATCGCATGGGTATTTTCATCGCTTCGTCCGTAAAGATCACTTTATAATTGTCTCCTAATCTACTAGCAAAGAAAAAAGAAAACAAAAAAACATTGATGTATATGTTGTACCAACCGCTATTCGATTCATTTTAAATATGTGGATACATGGATTGCGTTTTAGACGTAACGATTAATTGTAACACGATGCGATGAGAAAAGCAAACGTTGGGACTTTGTCCGATCGGTCTCCGACGACGCGTAATAAAATCATTTACGTAAAAAGAGAAAGGGGAGGAAAAATGAAAAAAAAAATGTGCGGATTACGGCACACACAGCGGCACTTTTGCTTTGAACGAAGGAGAACGAAGCAAGTCGGATAACACAAACACACGTGCTCTCATGCATTTTTGGCTGTCGCGCGAAGCCGCCTACGCCATAGTATTTCAGATATATTAGCTTTGAAGCTCGAGAAGATTAATGATTCAGATAATATATACTTTAACTTAGACAACGTGAATATTCACGTCGCATTCGCGGACGCGATGATTTTACAAAACGACATCTTAGCTAATATCTCAAAATTAATATCGCAGAGAAAAATTGATGATCTGACGATTTTTTTCTTTTTAGATTAAAAACATATACTTTGCGAGAAATATTTTGTGCAATTGACTTGCACCTAAGTAAGAAAGACGTCTATCTATCTAAGTGCATGGATAGTAATCTATTTCTCCGCGTAATGTTGTAATTATGCTTACAATAAGAATATTTATAAATGAAATATATTTGTCAGCTTTATTATCTTTTCAAAATCAATCAATAAGTCCATTGAATCCGAAATATAATCGATTTTATAATCGATGAATTTGTTGTGAAATTAATTGCAAATTCGTGGCTTGCAGAAATATTATTGCGCTATTCCGTCGTTTCTGAAATCATCGCCTTCTTAGAAAGCTAATTGTTCAATGAGAATAATTTTATCACGCACGATCGACACATGAAAATCATTGCGAAAAAGTGCAACGATGGATTTGTATCATGAGAAATTTTACGCTATAAACATTATCTTATAATTAGGATAACATGTTCTCTCATTTCTTCTGCAAGGCATATATAGTGACACATTAAGGAAATTATGCATATGTATTGTAATGAAAGAGTTTGATGAATCCTGATTGAATTTAGTTCCCTTTCCTCCCTTAAATTAATATCGAGCGGCAAATTGTATATATGTTTTTTTATTGACGTCGTTCGAGGATTTTTACAACTTCATGCGCATAATAATACTAACGGTTCCACTAACAAAACTAAATATCGTACCGGAATAATGCGTAATATGTATAATATAACGTAGATATAATAAATCTTTGTATCTCAGAATAGTTGATTATATAATCACAATTGCATTGCAAAGCATCACGGCATGTTTGATTTAACTTAACAATTTTAAATTATTAAAGATGTATTATAATATTTTTAATAATTGAATATATCCATATAAATTAAATGCAATCTATTGTCTTATCTTAAATCATAAAACTGGATTTTGCGACAATAGATTGATATAAGACTCTGTTTTAGCAATTTTAATATATCGTTAAAATAAATAATCTTTTTTCTTAATTCTATTCATAAAAAAGTATTCATTTTATTTGTTTTTATAATAATAGATGAAATCGCTATAATGAAGAGTAAGATATTTATCTAAGCTTGACAATAAATAGGACAGATCTATCCAACTGTCTTCTATCATTTAACAAGTCTTTCAATAAAAAATGCTTTGTAGTGCTCTTACATCGGTAATAGGCTGCTAACCTACGTCATTGTATTATTTAATTGAAAACATTACTTAAAATGTATTGAAAGAAATTACTATTCTATTGACTTTCTATCCTTGTTTACAAAAGATGTATGAAATTGTGATCTGTAGTTATATAATATCGCAAAAGACAAGTAACCTTGCTATTATCAATACCCTAACAGTATAAAAAAATTCCATTCCATTTTGCAAAAGGGAAGATTTACAAGGTGCCAATCTCGGGAATAATGCATTTTAAGACACTGTATTTTCGGAATTGCAAAGAGCATAATGAATAGCATTTGCAAAGAGACATAATGAGATTCGTAGTTTCATAGTATTATACTACATGGCTCTAAACAAACTCTGATAATCCGAATTCAATGAAAGGATTTAAACTAGTATTATTGCTGGTATTCGAGATATTAAGTGAACAGGCGATTAATAAGGATTCATCAAACTCTGTAGAGCGTAACGTAATAGTAACATAATCTTTATCTATACGTTGTCAACAAACCTCAACGCTAAATTGCTTTAATTCAAGCTAGTGAGGGAAAACACCATTTAAGCTTCTAAGAAATCTCAAATGATGCATTACACACGTTTCTCTGAATACATTAATTTTCAATATTCTGAGCTCCTACAGCAGCGCGAAATCTTAGTTTTCTTTTTTTTTTCTTAGATATTACTTAATATTAAGTAGGTATTTTTACTTGAATCGAAGAATATAGCAACTTTTTAAAATCTTGTACAATGTGAACGCTGTGTTCTGTTGCTTCTGGAGTGTTTAACTGTACTTTCGATATCATTTCGATTGATATAATTAGGATTAATATTCGCGATTCTCTTTGTAATCGTATGGGGGGGGGGGCATATTACATACATAAGGACTTAAGAATATAATATAAAAATATATAAACATAAAAAAGAGACGCTGTACGCGCAATTTGACATAGAATAATATGCAATTGCCAATTCGTAAATTCAATATAATTTGTGCAAACATTTGTCGAGATGAATAACACAGAATTAAATTCTTTTACTTATAGTTTACTTTTTTTATGTCCAGTTATTAAAACATTTATAACTAATTACAAACAATATTATCATATTGTTGATATTAAATAATATTGCATTGTATTATTGTATTTTACTACTAGTAGAATATAAAATATGCTACTAGTATTAATCTATACAGAAGTAAAACATATATATTATATAATATGTATATCATATGTAATAATATATAATTGATGTATATTATAATTTTATATTTTTGTTCATTTTTATGAATATCGCTATTCGCGCTATTCGAACATTATCTTTAATAGCGAATATTAAAATATCCGCTAAAATTTTAAAAAAATTAATAAAATTAATAAAAATTAATAAAAATTAATAAAAATTATAATATTTCGTTAATATCTGAAAGTTTTGAACATAAACTCTACTGTAAACAATGAAGTGTGATGTATGACTCTATCCCAATTTTAGAAGTTTTTTACTTGAAAAAACACTCGAAGTTAAACGTTATTATTCTATATAGTATTGCGATATAGCGTCAAGATTTGACTTCCATAGTTAAGAATATTAAGTTGTATTAGAATATGGAAAAAAGGATAAGACAAGCACAGCACATTTCAGCATGTACTTTTATAAAAAAGAACGATCAAAAAAGTCGTAGCCGTTGGAACACAATTGTTGCGTCCATCATATAAAAATCAATTACATCTCCACGCTTAAAAATTCGTAATTTCAATCAGGTTTCGTGTAAGCTCTCTCTCTTTCCCGAGAATCTACCATTCGTATCAGAAATTTCTCATTCACTAGAAGACTTATTACTTGATCCTCGTGCAAAGCTTTAATTGGCAAACAAAATTGTTATTACGTATATAAAAGTAATTTTATTTATGTTTGAGATTAAACGCATATTGCGTTATTTTATAAGTTGTATTGTAAATAATATGTAATATGTTTAATTTATATGTAGTATTAATGTACGATTATAAAATACTATATTAATTTGTTTTGCCGACGTACACTTCCAAAATACTGTACGAGGAAGTTTCGTCTCAAACAATTTAATATGAGACGATTCTGTGATTACGTTGTCACATTAACGATTAACATATTACACGATTTTTACATAATAACCTTCAGTTAATTATTATTATTAATAATTATCGATTATTGATTTATTGTAACAATAAAATGGAAGAGATATTGTATGGATATCAAGTAATAATATTCTTCTTTATCATAAACATTCATGTAAAATATTAATACTTAATGAAAAATGCGCGAATAAGAGTACAAATGCAGCAGAGGAAAGCTACACAATCCTGATTGAATGCCGAACGAATACGAATAGGAGTTGTAAAGGCATATAATGAAGGAGAGAGTGTGGTCTCTAATAGAAAATATGTAACATTATTATATTATATATGTATATATAAATATATGTGTATATATACGTACACATATATACATATATACATATATATCAAGTTTGAATGCTCTGCCTGCTCTTGGATATCCTTTTTAGTTTGAGTAATCTTTTTGTGGTACGATGTATGATTTCTCTTTCTATCATAAAGATGCAATGATTGTATATGGGCTGCGTTTGAGTCATGATCGAATGTAACGATTTATTATAAGTAATGCAAAATAAATGGATGACATGCAAGAAACAAAAATAAACCTTTATAAATTTTTCACTATTCTTACAAAAAGAGAACGAACTACGTAATATTAATTTATTTAATTCTTTTTATATATCTCTTTTATATTGTGTTATAACTCACCAAAATATCTCTGAATGAAATAATTAATTAAACTACATTATTTTATATTGGATAGAATCAATTATATCTGATGTATTAGTAAAAATCTAGTTTATTATTTACATATGTACTGATATCTATATATACTTAAATATCATATCTTTTTTACTATCAATCGTAACCAATTCTATTTTAACAGGACACTGAAGCCAATAACTCAGAAGTTCTTCGGTATAACCAGTTAAGAAATATATCTTATATGGAGCTATAGTACGTGTGACAATTCCAGCTATCCTAACAATATTATGCTGCCGCTTAATGATGACTTCAGTCGCGAATAAATTGTGCCATGTTCCAGTCATAAATTGTCGAATAAACATATCTTCTATGGCTGTCTCGGATGGCCTGTTGCCATCCTTGATATTTGCTAAAAAGATCAATGAGCTCAATAAAACTGTACAAGTATAGATCAAAATTTATGGAACAACTATTTATTGAGATTATTTAAAAAATTACTGATTACTGTTACTTGTAACTTGAAGATTAGTAATTTCGTTATTGTATCCATTACTTTTTAATGAAATTTTTATATATGCAAAGTAATGATTATACATTACTATTACGCAAAAAATATAACTACATTACCGTTAACGTTACTAATGAAAAAATGTAACATCGCTACCAATTTGTTATTACAAGTAATGCATTCCTTTCTAACTCTCAAAACAACATACAGGTATTCCATGCGTTCCAGGATTTTCTATGAGCAAGGTAATGAGGTGGATTTGCCATCTCATACGTCAGTGGCTTGTCTTTGTTAAGTGTGATTTTGTAGCGTCCGGATTGTACCTTATTCATTATTGCACTCGTATGAAAATACCTTTGCCTAAATGTATGTTGCACGACTGGTAATATCTGAAAAGCAGCGATAATAAAATTGTCGTTATCACAAATGTTTTATTAATAATTCAATTTTTAATAAAAGAAACTTGATATTTGTGCTGATGGAAAGGTTATTGAAAGAGGTTATAGTGGAATGTTTCATCAATTAAATTTCAATACAAATTGCAAAGGCAAATTTTAATACATTTCTCATGTGTTCCAATAAAACCATTTTGTCACGCAATTCCCGACTCCAACTTTTGATTAATCTATCACAAAATAATATACAGATCGTCTCTTCGTCTACAGATGAATACAATAATATGAGAGAAGTTAACGCCGCAACTAGTGCCAATGTTGCCAATGTTGCCAACGTGAGAATGTACTGGCAGTAAAATAAAAATAAAAAGTTATCAAAGTTTAAAATATATATATTATATAAAAATATATTTTTTATATTTGTACCATTTAAAGTATAAAATTAATAAATTTAAATAAAGAACTCAGAACATAAACAAAATAATATTTTTAATAAAAGAAAATATTTGTGATTTACATTTTTTTATTAATAACAAAAACTTTTAATTGTAATACTTGAAATCAATTGTAAGAAACAAAAAAAATTAATAATAAAACATAACATAAACTAATAATTTAAAAAAAATGTAAGTTCTAAATATATATATATTTATTTATTTATTGTTCTAATATTAATAGTATGCGATTTTCTCTCAAAAATTAACAATATTACAAATATAAAAATTAAATAACTTTCAAGTTATAGAAAACTGTCAATTAATAAAAAATTATTCTAGATTTACTGATATTTTCGACTTATACATATTTGAAAATCAAAATTTAAATGAACACCTATTGTACATTTATAAGAATTTTTAATTTCAATCCGAGAAATTTTATCTATTATTTTTTTTCTTACGAGCAAAACTAATCTAAAAGGAAGCAGAATAAATTAATCTGTTATAATTCGTCTTTCAGTCTTCATAAATAATTACTATATAATTTACAACTACAAGCACGACAATACAGACGAGTTATATTCTTAAGGAAGGATAAAGAACAAGGGAAATAAATCGGCGATTGGCTTTTGGTTTCGTTCTTCGCATGAGATAAGCTGCCTCGTCTCTTCTCGTTTTTCCCTCTTAATGGTTTAAGCGATTTCACAAAGTAACAAAGAATTTCTCTCTCGCTCGCGCCCTCCTGCCATCCTCTAACTGCCACCCGAAATAATTTCGCAACGAAACCGCGCGCTGGATCAGTTGAGGAACAGACAGGGCGAAAAATTGATTGACTGTAATTGTCAGGTTTCTCGGATAGAAACGAATCTAGAAAATATAATAAAAATGATTAGATTAAAATTGAAGATAAAATTTCGAAGGTGAATAATACATTGTAACAAAATTATCGTAAATATTTTCTGGACATAATATTTTTTACAGAATTCTTTCAGAATAGTAAAAAAATCGATGGTTTTACTAAAATCGGATCAAATATACATTTGCATAATAAATATAAATATATGTGAATAATAATTTGCATAATAATTGTGCAACGTTTATTATAATCGTCTAATGTGCACGTGAATGTATGTGCATGCGATCGATAATTATAATGAAGTACAAAGTGCGTGTTTTATACCTTACGGAGATTTTTTTTCAAACTGTATTCTAAAAGATTTATCAGAATCCGTAATCTTCTTTTTGGAAGCTCCAACGGGCACATATGCGTATCGCGAACAGCAGGTAGTTGCACGCGCGCCGGAAGATAAGGGGAGGATAGAGAGGGATGAGAGAGAGCGAAAAGAGGGCGAAGGGTAGTTAATGTAGCTAGAAAGAGAAAGGAGGGCAGGATGCTGTGATCTTACACGGAGAGCAATGAGGATGATGGAGACCGAAGTGGAGTGAAACATATTGAACGATCGTGGTGGATGCACAAAACACGATGAGGAGGAGTGAAGGGTGCGCGCCCCTAGAGCGATCCTAAAGGTAATGTTTCCACTTGCCGCTGATATTTCTACATCCAAGAAGCAAAGAGGTATATATTTGTATCGTATGTGTATGAGAGAGAAAGAGGGAAATGAAAGAGAGAGAGAGAGAGAGAGAGAGAGAAATTTGACAAAAGTTAGGAAATATGCGCGACAAAATGACTATTTTAAATTTTAAAAAATTTAGTTTTAATTTAATTTTTAACTTTACCCTAATTTTAGAAACAGAGAAACAAAAGAAAGTAGGACATAATTAATATATATTAT